TAGATCTGGAAGGGACCTTGGAGGTCTAGTCCAGCCCCCTGCTCAAGCAAGAGATCCTATACCATTTCAGACAAGTGACTGTCCAATCTCTTCTTAAAAACCTCCAGCGATGAAGCACCCACAACTTTTGAAGGCAAGCTGTTCCAGTGGTTAATTGTCCTCATTGTTAGGAAGTTTCTCCTTAATTTCAGGTTGCTTCTCTCCTTGATTAGTTTCCATCCATTGTTTCTGTCCTGCCTTCTGGTGCTTTGGAAAATAAATTGACCCCCTCCTCTTGGTGGCAGCCTCTCAAATACTTCTATGTGGTTTTCTATGCAGAGTCTTTCGATGTGGTTTGCAGATTCTTACATTGGTTTTGGAAGACATGAAAAAATAGTCATAGTCAGCAATATCCTGCTTTTTCTTATAAGAAAGACAGCAAACATGATTCTCAAGCCATATGCAGAATGGAAGAAAAACTTCTGCATTGACTTAGTTGTTTTCAGTAGCTTAGTTGTAATGCCAGGATTTCTGTGTGTATACACAGAATGTCCAATTGAACAATTGGATTGGGAATATAGGCATATTTATCTTTTAACAGCTTTTACATTTACATGTAACATAAAACCATATATTTCCAAGTGATTTTGCTAGTTATATGCAGTGTAGGACTAACCATACACAAAAACAAAAATAAAAACTACAGTTGCCCTGATGCGAACAGTTTAGGAAGTAATTTAATCCCTATTTTATTTGTTGAAAAAATGTTTCTAGTCTGAAACATTCAGAAGATGACTTAAAATGTAAGACTAAAATATGATGAAAGTTTAAATAACTGAAAACCTGAATTAGATGTTCAGGGAATGAAATATTGATACTTTTCACAATATTGGCTTTTTGAAACAACTTATTGAAACAAATTAAAAGTATGCAAAGTAATTGTATAAATTGTACAGCACTGGAAAACTGTGAGGTTAAATATACTGATTAATTTAACCACATTTAACTGGTCCAGAATGCGGCTGCGCGGGTTGTTACGGGAGCTCCTCGTTACTCCCGTGTAACACTTCTCCTGCGTGAGCTGCACTGGCTACCGGTGGTCCTCCGGATCCGCTTCAAGGTGCTGGTATTGACCTATAAAGCCCTACATGGCTTAGGTCCGGGGTATTTGCAGGACCATCTCCTGCCTGCTTCCCACCGTCCTGTCCACTTCCATAGGGTTGCTCTCCTCAGGGTATCAGGCAATGTCGACCAGGCAATGCCGTCTGGCGATGCCCAGGAGTACGGCATTCTCCGTGGGTGCCCCTACCCTCTGGAACAAACTACCCACCGAGCTCTGGACAGCCCCGGATCTCCGCTCCTTCCGTCGAGGCCTGAAGACTTGGTTATTCCAACGAATGGGCTGATTCTGATCCTTGGGTTTTTATTATTTATTATTTTAATCTGGTTTTAGTGGGGTTTTATTATTGTATGTTTTTAATCTGTGTTCGCCGCCCTGAGTCCTTCGGGAGAAGGGCGGCATATAAATTCTGTAAAATAAATAAATAAAATAAATAAACCACAACCATCAGCTGCCATAGCTAAAAATGAGGTGCTGAGAGTTGTAGTTTACCAACATCTGAACAGCCACAGATTAGGGTTAAGTTCTGTATACTTTTTACCACTTGCAAAGTCAGTGGGTGTTACAAGTTTTCTATATAGATATTTTATATGCTCATGCTTCCTAATTAATTAATGCTTTTATTACCGCCCATTTGATGTTTGGAAAAATTCTTGTGATATTTACCTTTTACTTTAACATACCAAGGGCAGTTTTTTCTAATGTTTTAATGATAGACCTTTGTGTTTGGGCTGCTTGATGATAATAATTTCATAATTTGCTCTTCACTTTTTAAGAAGGCTGAGTATAGATACTGTACCTAAGTCTTTAATTATAATAACATTGCATTTTTGCAATAAAGGCAGTTTACAATAATTGCTGTTACAACACAGCTGAAACTATTTCATTATTTGATGTGGTGCATGCATTATCATATTCTACAGGAAAACCCATAGCAAATTAAAATCAGAAATCCTAAGGGAATGCTTGAAATAATTTTTATTCAAATGCCAACTGCTAAATGAGAACAGGATGTGACTATAACTGTTGCTAGTCTTTATCACAATTCCAAAGAGGTTTCTGAGATGCATCCAATTTGTTTATCTGTGTGACATCATGAAGGATTTTTATTGGGGTTTTTTAAAACACAGTAGCCTCATAAAAGGCAGTGTCCCTTTATTTACATAATGGATTAAATAATTACTTTCTGGACTGGAAGAATGAAGAGGGAAAGATATATGTGTCTCACTCCTAAATGTCCAGTGTCCAGTCTCGCAAGTCACAAGTTTCTTACAGATCTGTACCAGACTGTATTCCTTGATATTTTCTTGGATATAAATTGTGGAAAGCTGTTACCATTGTGCATTTAGTGGATCTTCCTCTTGGGACACATGTTTATGATACAGACTAAAGGTTGAATTATCAAAGAGGCAAGGTCCTCCAAGAAAGGATGAAAATGTTGCATCATGAAAAAGAAAAGAAGGAAAATGGGTGATTTTGGAGGTTGAAAATGGGGTGCGAAAAATGAGGGGGGGAAATAGTTACAGAGGGTTCTTAAAATGCAGAATGAAGATTAATGGAGAAGAGTGGAAAAGATGTGAGAACTGCAGAAGAAGAAGAATGCAATTCTTTGGTCAATGATCAGGAAACAACCACCAGAGCAGAGGTGGGTTGCAGCAGGTTCTGACCAGTTCTGGAGAACCGGTAGTGGAAATTTTGAGTAGTTTGGAGAACCGGTAGTAAAAATTCTGACTGGCCCCGCCCCCATCTATTCTCTGCCTCCCAAGTCCCAGCTGATCTGGAAGAAATAACCTTCCCCTGGAGTGGGGAGGGAATGGGGATTTTACAGTATCCTTCCCCTGTCATGCCCACCAAGCCATGCCCACCAAGCCACACCCACAGAACCGGTAGTAAAAAAATTTGAAACCCACCCCTGCACCAGAGGAATCATTTGAAAAATACAGCAATGTGTAAAGCAGTAAATTTGGACAGAGTTGAGATTTTGGGTGGGTGGGGGAGAACAACGATGGAAAGAATTATATGCAAAAAAGGAAATGTGCCAAAAACAAGATAAAGAACTCACTTCCTCAGAGTCTGGGTTTTTTTTTTTTTCCAGTTTATTGTGAGCTAATAATGCAGATGTTATATTCGTATATCAAAAAAAGGGGGGAAGCTTAAGAGTGGTGGATAAAAGGCTACAGTACACAATACATACTATTCATTTTTCCCATTTCACCCTCCCTCCAGAAAAATGCCCACTTTAACTATCAGCAAATCTATGGAGATTATTAGATCCAATTTGACTACTCTGGGTTAGCTGGGTAACAAAGAGGATAACTGTTAATAAATACACATAGATAAATGGACATATACCTGCACGCCAGTGCTGTATGTATCCATATTCTCACTTGAAATCTACTGTTTTTCAATATCTGTTGCCTTTCATACTTTTGTATATACCTGCTTAGTAGGGCTTTCGTTTCCCCCCCCCCAAAAAAAAGTGGTGTTCTTTTTTATACAAAGTCAGCTTATTGCCCCCACAATCCGGGTCCTCATTTTACCTACCTCAAAAGGATGGAAGGCTGAGTCAACCTTGAACCTGGTGAGATTTGAACTTGCAGTAATTGCAGGCAGCTGGTGTTACTTAACAGCACTTTAGTCTGCTGCGCCACCGATATTCATATTTAATATGCTAAAAGGCACAAATTATCAGCTAATTTTTGGAAAAGTAACTAAAATTAATTGTTTAAGAAGAAAGAGCAATCTATTTCCTGGACAATCTACCATTTCCTTCAAAATTCATATTTATTAGATTTTGTATCACACAGAGAGACATATTAAGTGTGCTGTTCAGTTAGAGTATGAACGTACTGTATATCTAATGGTTAAGTTTTATTCTCCAAATGGGAGAACTGAACGGAAAAGCTTGGTGCGCATAGGCTAAAATACCAACAATTGATTTTTTCCACCTGTTATTACTGCAGGGAAGTTTAATATATATTCTATATGAGAGAGAAACAGATTGCAAGTCTGCCTGTATATAAACTTTACCGATTGGTGCTGCATATCATCATCTTAAAGTACTTAAGGAAAAATGCCTAATAAGGATTCAGCACCTAGGTTATTACCAGCTGTGCTTTTACCCATACGCAAGACTTTTATTATTACGTTTGAGAATTAGTCTGCTGCTTTCTTTTCTTGAGTTCTGTTATCAGTCCTGGAGACCCAAAACAGACAGGAAATAAAAGTAATGTGATAGGACTAGCAAGGTAATATTCTCTACCCATATTTGTTTTCCTCACTAACAATACCTCTATTTCCCTAAGCAAAATGACTATTTTACTGGATTTTATTTTTATAATCTGTGAAAAAATCAGCCACCGTACGGCAGTCCTGCAAAACAAAAACCTGCAATGCAGTGCAATTACTATGCCTATGTTGAAGTAAGCCCACTGAGTCTAGCAAGACCTTCTTCCAAAATAAGCATGTACAACATAGTAGCTTAATAAATAATAGGGAAGAAAGCCAAAGCTAGTCCTTGCCAACCCATTCAGCTGTAATGAAGATTTATAGAGTGCATTTTTTGCACAGTCCAGCATTTAGTGGGTATTTTTTTTTTAACTATTACTATATAATTTTCAAGCAGTTATCCTTGTGTACTTAGCTTCTTCTATAGAGGAACCAAAGGCTCATGAAATGTGCATGAAAGATTGGCCTCATTTTGCTCATGCTAATGAGAATTCAACTGATAATCTTCTCAAAAACAGGCTAATTAGCACAATTCAGCATGTTGCATCTTGTATCATCTTTGACATTTTATGCATACCAGTAATACAGAGCGGGGCGGGGGAGGATGGACTCCCTTGTGATCCTTTTCTGTGCTGATCATAGTCTAATTGGCAGCTTGTCCTTTTGGTTGCAGGTTGATCTCAGAGCCACTGATGTCAAGCTCATGCGACAGCTGTTGATCATCAATGAAAGCATTGAATCCATCAAGTGGATCATTGAGGAAAAAGGAACCATCACCAGCAGGGGCAGCAGCTTGAGTGGCAGCCTTTGTAGTTTGTTGGGCAGCCAGGATACCTCCTTGAGAGGCAGCTACAACAGCTTGCAAGACTGTAGTGATGGACTGGATGGGATATCGGTGGGAAGTTACCTGGACACTTTGGTGGATGATATCCCTGGCCAGCATACTCCGTCAGATGTGGACCAGTTCAGTGACTCTTCTCTCATAGATGACTCACAGCCCCTACATAAACATCCCAAGATGGAATCCAACGAGTACTACTGTTTTGGTTAATAAAATGAAGATCTACGAGAGACACGTGTGCACTTGTATTTATGATTCCTCTATGCTGCTATTTGATGTAAGCATTTTTAAAGCACCTTTAGCAAAGACAATGTACTTTAAATTTGCTCCTCTCTCTCTCGGTTGCTGCTCCTAGATCTTATTCTCCTTTCTTCCTTGGATGGTTGCCCTCCTTTTTTTAATTTTAATTTATTGTGATTTCTTTCTCCTTTTTTTTTGATAATATCCCATTTGACTTCTCTTTTTTTATAAAAAATAAAGATAAAGGAAATTTATCTGCAATCCTAAGTGCATGAATGAACTTTTACTTAATTCTGCATCTTGCAGACAATAAAACACTTCCATTATCTGAAGATTGGATATAGTGTTGGCTGATGATAATTTCAGGTGTGATTATTATTTAAACCCCTTTCATTTGGGGCATTCAACCAAAAGAAGCTTAGAAAATGTCTTATGGAGATTAATAATGCAACTTTCCTTCTTATAAGCTTATAAGATACAAAAAGAAAATAGATTTGGGAGAGAGACAAATGGTTATAATTAAAAATATAAAACTTTTCATAGCTCAGCTGGGAGTTGTCAAGGAAAATATTTCATTGATAATATTAGGAAAGCTCTGATGTTTGGAAACGTCCATGGGTCTGTAAGTACTGATGCTGGACTAGTAAAAGTGGTGGAGACATTGTTGAAAATGTTCCACTGTTTATATATATCTGCGCACTCACGCTCGCACACACTCAATTAAAGAGTTGTCGATGACCTATAAATCAGGAACTCTTGGAACTCTCTGCCAAGAAAGGACATGTTTCTTCTTTCTCTGTTGGCTTTCTGTGGTGAAGGAATTCTGATTTAAGGTAGGTTCGATAGTACATCACTTATTAAGTTTGAAATTACAAAGGAGAGATTTGGATTTCTCCTGTTCATGGTTAGTCAGTAGAATCAGTTGAGTAGAAAAATAAGTTTTAATTTAGCAACAAGATACATAGATTCTGAATATTGTATGTACTCATCTACAACCAAGAATTTCAGGGGCCAAAATCAACCTAAAAAAATAGGTACAGCTTATCCATGGATAGACTTGATCAGATTGCTAGAGGAGAAGGTGGAAGGTCTAGACCTTGGTGCCTTCCACCGTGCCCTTAAAACTTTCTTTTTTCATCAAGCCGGGCTGGTTTAACATATTTTTAAATTTTTAATTTTTAATTGGTTTGTCATTTTAAACTGGGGCCAAATTAATATATATTCTTTTAATTGTTCTTAATGTTTGTATTGTATTTTTTTATCTGGCTGTACACCGCCCTGAATCCCTTGGGAGAAGGTGCAGTATATAAATTTGAAATAAAATAAATAGAGCAGGGGTGTCAAACTTAAGGCTCTTGGGGCACTTAGATCTGGCCCGTGGAGCTGCCCTGGAAACAGCAAAGGACTGGCCTGCAGTGCCTCTGCCAGCAAAAATAGAGCTCAGGAGGGCTGCACAAGGTCCCACCTGGCTCCATTTTCAGCTGCAATGACCTCCTGCAGCCTTCTGCCAGTGAAAACAGAGCTTGGTGGGCATGCCCATTTTTACTGGCAGAATGCTGCAGGCCATCCCAGGTGAAAATGGACAGGTGCCCCAGATACGAGTGACATTAGCTTGCCACATCCATCTGGCCATGCCCCCTCCCCCCGAGGTCAAACACAACCTTGATGAAGCCCTCAATGAAATTGAGTTTGACACCCCTGATCTAGAAGCATGTCTAACCACTCTTGAGTCTCCTCTATGAAAATGAGGAATTTTTCAGAAAGGCGCAGAAGTCTTCATCAAATATTCCGGTGATAGGAAGAAAAGTAGTTCAGTCTGTCACAAAGAGGACGATTCTGTCAGTTTATCAAAAAGAAAAGGGCATGTGGTGATTGATGACTGGTGACTCACTTCTGAGAGGAACAGGATCAGCAATTTGTAGACCAGACAACCTATCAAGCAGAGGTGGTATTTAGCTGGTTTGGTCCGGTCCACCCAACTGGTAGCAGAAATCACAGGTGGGCCTGCCCTGCTCATCCACCTCAGCTCTATGCCATCCTATTTAGGCACATTTTTGAGGCCGGGTGCATGAGCAGAAGGCGCGTGTGTGAGCAAAGCGCATGCACGAAAAACCAGTGCATGCTCAAACTGGGCATGGGCATGCACAAAGCGAGCATGGGTGCGCGCGGCAAACCGGTAGTAACATAATCTGAAACCCACCAGTGCTATCAAGGGAGTTACGTTGTTGCCCAGATGCAAAATTCAAACATGACGAAGAGGCTTGTCCAAATAATCAAGCCTGCTAATTATTATCCCTTTCTCCTCCTTCACATTGGGACAAACAATGCAACCAAAAAAGAACCTAAAAAATATATTAAGGGAGTATGAGCAGCTAGGCAAGAAGGCAAAAGAGTTAGGAACACAGGTGGTGTTTTCATTTGTACTTCTCATGTCCAACGAGAGAACAGAAGGTTTTAGAGGTGACTTACCCACAAATATATATGGTAATACTTTTTAAAATTATCCATACATCTTGTATAGACTCATGTGTAAGTCCATCCATGAATAAACGGGCCCTCAAATTTTAACCAAAAGAGCATAAAAAAATAAGCCAATTGTGAAAATTCATTCCAAAAATATTGAGTGTTAGCTTATCCATGGTATTTTCATGGTATTTTGATTAACAATTTGAGGATCAGCTTATCTGAAGATAGGCATATACCGTACATGAGTAGATGTATAGCGTGTGACCATCATCTAGCTAACTTGTCAAAATAATTGTGGTGTCTATGTTTATTATAGCTTTTGTTGGAGAGTAAAAGTCCACTTATATTGTCAAATAAAAGTAGAGAAAGTAGCAGAATAGCTACTTTCAACCAGCCATTAATCTCATAGGATGAATGTGCTCTCTTTTTTTGTCTTAAATACAGGGAAGAAAATTTTTATCCATTCACTTTACTGATTGTCCATTCCTTCTACTTTTCGGTCTTTCAAGAACATTTGTTGGCCCCTACTAATATCCACAGATAATAGCCACAGATAACTATAATAAAAATCTATACACTGTTAAACTTTGTGTTTGTTTGAAGCCTTCAGCTGGATGAAATGGTGTGCCATAGGAAAAGCTTTTGTATTAAAGTACTCAAATGTGCCACCTTAAAGAATGCATCTAAAATCTGGAATCCATTACTTCCATGGAATTAAAATTTGGCAAAGTTGTGGCCATTTCAGCACCACTGCACCTTCCAACTATACTTCCCAGAGACCCAGAGTTATGTGTCAACAGAGAAGATGGACGAGATATATCTCCATCCCTTTTCCCACCTCCCTCTGGCCCCTAGGTCCAATTGGCTGATGGTAAGCCTTTAGGGGTGAGTAGTGATTGGCTGATTTGAAACAGAGGCCAATATTTGAAATCTCCTAATGGTAATGGACAGTGAGGGAAGGATGAGGGAATGTCTTGGTTTCCTTCTGGATCAATTCAAAGATTGGGGGTGGATAGCACGGCATTTTGCTGGCTTTCCTCCTTCCTTAGAAGTTGATTCCCGTTAATGATGACTGAGGGGATCACAGGAATTGGTGCTCTCTCCACTTCTATTTAACATCTACATGAGGCTGCTGGGGACAGATTTTTCTCCCTGGATTAAGAATTTGAAAAATCCTTAAAGACACTGCACTTCCCTTAAAGGCATACAAATGTTCACTGAGCACTCTAATGTCCTAAATTGTTTGATTTTTCACTATCTTCAGTTACAGTCTTTGGGCAAAAGGACTTTAACATGAATATAATTTTTTCATTTCTATCTTTTATCTCTCAGATATACTGTAGAATTCATCAGGCCACCAAGAGCATATCTTTGGGGCAAGTCTACAACCCATTAAGAATGAGGAAAGAAATGTAAATTGTCAGATGCAGAAATCAGCATTACCATATAATAAGTGAAACAGAGAGCATGAACAAAAAACAACAGCAGATTTATTATGAACTTTTGCAAAAGGATTCCTTCCCGGAGGGAAGAATATAAATATATTCTATTTCTAATAATAGTTATTTCTTTAAAACGTTTGTAAGTAAATGTTTCATTAAAATATATATATTTATATAGCCACCCATTTTATATTAAACTCTGGGTGGCTCCCAATCAAGAATTAAAACTATGTGTATAATAAAACAATATAAAAACATATTAACAGAACAGAATAACATAGTTGGAAGGGACCTTGGAGATCTTCTAGTCCAACCCCCTGCTCAGGCAGGAACCCTTTACCATTTCAGACAACTGGTTGTCCAATCTCTTCTTAAAAACTTCCAGTGTTGGAGCATTTACAACTTCTGAAGGCAAGTTGTTCCACTGATTAATTGTTCTAACTTAGACTCTTTCTACAACATCTTTTTTTACATCATGGCAACCAAAACTGAACGCAATATTCCAAGTGTGGCCTTACCAAGGCATTATAAAGTGGTATTAACACTTCATGTCATCTTGATTCTATCCCACTGTTAATGCAGCCTAGAACTGTGTTGGCTTTTTAAAAAATTAAATTAAAGTTAAAACTATTAAAACCATAAACATTAAAACAAAAACTTGGCATCCAGTTAAGTTTCCAACATACAGTCATCTCTGCCTATCCCAGCAACTGGGGGAAGAGCCAAGTCTCCAGTGCTTTTTTGGAAGACTAAGGGGGTAGGGGCCTGCCAAACTTTAAGGGGACAGAGTTTTTCATAGGATAGGGGAAAGGCAGCTCCCATAAGGCAGTAATTTTTAAGGGAAGGGGCTAGGAGCATGCCCATCCTATCTAATCTGGTAGGACGGGTAGATGTCTTTAGGCAAAGGTGATGCCGCAGATAATCTAACCATAAAGGTAAAGGTAAAGGTTCCCCTCACACGTGCTAGTCGTTCCTGACTCTAGGGAGTGGTGCTCATCTCCGTTTCAAAGCCAAAAAGCCAGCGCTGTCCAAAGATGTCATGTGGCCGGCATGACTAAATGCCAAATGTGCACAGAATGCTGTTACCTTCCCACCAATTTTTCTACTTGCATTTTTTATGTGCTTTCGAACTGCTAGGTTGGCAGAAGCTGGGATAAGTAATGGGAACTCACCCCGTTGCATGGCACTAGGGATTCGAACCACTGAACTGCCAGCCTTTCGATCAACAAGCTCAGTGTCTTAGCCACTGAGCCACCATGTCCCCTAACCATACAGGGCTTTAAAGGTAATAACTTTGAATTACACCCAAAATATAACTGGAAACTAGTACAACTATTATTCTATAGATCTAAAATATCTAAAATTATAGAAACATTCCACTGAAGACACCCTAGTCAGCTCCTTCACTTTCACACTATTTTCCCCTGATTC